GCTAATGTCACTGCTACAATTGAAAAAATGGCTCCTTGAGTTGTTCTTGTAAAGGCAGCTTAGACGCAACCAGTGACTCCACCCCCTAGCCTATCAGTGACGAACAGTGTTCTGACGTCGCATTTTGGTGTCGACTGGGGCCGCTTGGAACCACAATGAAGTAGGTACTATTAAAAGGGCCGGTTCCATAAATCTGGCCTAATGGAAATGGCTTGGAACCATACCGAACCGTACCGACACTACACTAAGTGGCACTAGTGGAAAAGGGGCATTAGGTCCCTGTATGACCGGTGCCAGAGTTTTGTCCGCATTGCCGGTAGTAAGTCGGACTCGTTTCCGTTGAGAGTTGGACTCCAAGGTCGTCTTTTGTCACCGATTCTGTTCATAACTTTTGGACAGAATTTCTAGGAGCGGTCATCTGGGAGGAACTCGGAGTAGAGCCGCTGCTCCTCCACATCGAGAGGAGTCAGTTGAGGTGGCTGTGGTGGTGTTCCAGGCACGTTCCGTTGGGAGGAGACCCAGAGGAAGACCCAGGACACGCTGGAGGGACTATGTTTCTCAGCTGGGAACACYTTGGAATCCCCCAGAGGAGCTGGTCCAAGTGTCTGGAGAGAGGGAAGTCTGGGTCTCTGCTGAGGCTGCTGCCCCCGAGACCTGACCCTGGATAAGAGGAAGAAAATGGGTGGATGAATGGATTACAAATAGCAAGTAAATTTGTGTTTTGATTATTTATTTGTTGTAACATAATTCTTGGCAATAAATCTTGTAATTGGCAGCACATGGGGATATCAAAACAAGTGTCAATACTAACAGCAAAAAACATTTTTCATGAGCACAAACCACATACTCAGCTCTACTGCTCAACCCACAAATGCATGTTCCTTACAAATGTGGCACCATTCAAAAGGCAAATGAACAGACTTTCCAATGGTAGCTGTACGATTTATTGTCAAGAAGCATTGTTACAACAAAGAACTAATCTAACACTATTTTATTATAACTGTGTTGAATTGACTTTAAATGAATTAACTGAGATAATTTTTTAATTGTGAATTGGTCAGCCTTCATGCTATGTCAGATTTTAATGAGTGTGATGTAATGAATGCTCTCTGTGCAACTTCATTATGTCTCAACACAAAATTTATTTACTTTTAAACTCTGGCAAGAAAAATGGCGGCGATTCAGTTTTTAAATGATTCAAGGCTGTTAAAGAAGTACCCTTCACGAGAGTTGTAACATTTGTTGTTCTGT